TTAGTAAATATTGTTTTTAAAAACAATAGAGAAAACAAACGCAAACTTGAGATTTTTCTAGACTACTCTAGGAATTGGTATATCTATCAGCGATTCTGTAGTAAATAGGCTAAGAAATTGAAGTAGAGAAGTTTGAGTTTCATTCTTGCTTCTGTCAATGTAACCATTTACAAATGATGTGGTTTTCTAAAATTTTCCTTTGTCCATGGGTAAGAAACACACAATAATGTTCACCAGCCTATTTCAAAGTAACAGTGACTAAACATCTGGAATGAAGCAAATAGATTATATCATAATTGCAGGGCGTCTCAGTAAAGAGTATGAACAAAAGCATTTTGTAAAGACAAATCTATTTTCCCTTTAACTTATCACTAAGTAATATTCATCTCCACACTAGTTGTGGGGTCAGACCAGCCAATCTATTGAAATCCCCAGGAACATCAACCTGAGATCAGTTTGTCTGATGTACCAAAAGATTTTTCTTAATACCCCTTAGGGATTTGTAAGCTTATTTATTTTTACAACCTGCAAAACTTCAGTCTCGGCAATCAACATAAAGTGCCTGACACATATGTATTATGTATGTATGAGCATTTGTTTATATTATCTTTGACTTTTTAAAATCTGTTCAATGAGCCTTTTTATTCCATACTTATTATATACGATGTTTCATTAAGATCCATGAAAAGAGTCACTCCTAGTTTATATTTACATTATTTAAACACTACAAGTGATATTTGCTACTGGTTATGTAAATGGAAAATAATTTATGAGATTTATGATATGATTTTCTTTCCTGCACTTGGTGACTGGGTTGCCTCTTGGTTTTTATTTATGTCATGAACGATAATAAGCTCCTTCTGTTTGCCCACCCACACAGTTGCCTGAGCTTTAGGTGTGGCTGGAAATGATGGTGGGGGAGGAATAACTGCACTCAGTTCAAACGATAATAGCCCTCTCCTTCTATTACAGCAACCGTGAGGCAGGTCAGCTTCCAGGAAAGAATACCAACCTGCTTTCTGTAGGTGAAGAAGTCCCAGGGCTTGACTCACAAGGTCCTCTAGCACTGCACTTTGCAGTCAGTCCTGTGGGAGATTCGAAAAGACCTATCCTATGGAAATGCCTATAAATGATTAACAGGCAGACAAAGGAATTAACTCAAAATTGTAAGAAAGAGTAGATTAGATGAGCACTAAGAAATGTGACTGTCTACAACCACCTTGAAATCTAACAGGAAACAGGCCAAATGGCAAATTAGACTGTTTAATGGTTGTGTGTGAAAGTGCCTCCTCCTCGTAAAGGAACTGTAACAGATCCAGTCTTGTGCAAAGAGAATATTATAAACAAGATAAAGAAGCTTCGAGATATTTTCCCTAAATTCACTAAGTCATTAAGTAAATTTTACATTATAATCCAAGTGAAAAAAACAAACAAACCAGAAAAATCAAATACAAACCAAAAACAGACCAGAAAAACCTGAACAGGCCCTAAATGAAATGCCATGAAGGTCTCCTCTTAGAATCACTGTGGATTCTCTTATGCCCCAGATGAAGCAGATTGTATCAAGCAAGCAACATCACAACTTTTATTGAAAGCGCAATCCATATTCTTCTACAAATGAAACTTAGAGTTTCCTATCTGTCTGTAATTTAGTTCTATTTTTAACTCATTTCACAGCTCAATTAATATTCCAGTGTTTTATTCTTCTTCGTCATATTCAGAGCAGCCTGAAATAAACCTTACTTTGAAGCTACTTCCAGCCTTTGCAAATCCTTACCCTTCTCAGAACCTTCTTTTCCATCACTGCTATTTGTTCTGTCTCCCTGGAGACTTCACTGTTGCCACCTGCTTTCCACCATTCCAAACTGCACCTGTCCCAATTGTAATCCCTGCTTTCTAAGTGAAAGTTAAGTAATCCGATAAATTAATGTGTGCTAATGTATTATTGGTCATTATCGTGCAAATGAAAGCATGTTAATTTCCTATCCTCTTTTCCCTTCTGAGAATTTTTACTATTTTACTATGGCCTTTTAAAAAATGGCTCATTTCAAAGAGGTAGTATTGGCAGTGGGAATTTTTAGATATCAGACCTATGGAGGGAAGTAGGACAATCGTGTGTGTGTGTGTGTGTGTGTGTGTGTGTGTGTGTGTGTGTTCCCTCAAATCACAACATGGAGGAATGGCATCACATGTGTAGTAGCTGATGCATTTCACTGTTATATTATGGATGCTTCTGCAACAGTTCTATTCAGAGCTGCTGTAGACTTAGCATTAGGTTAAGCTCTAGAAATATGCCATGTAAAGTGACTTGCATTTTCATGTCTATTATAAAGGTTAAAACATTTGAACTTTCTGTTTAATTGGTATATATTTAAACTTTTCCTGAAATGGTCAAAGAAAGACTTTTTGGCATTAAACTGCTGCTGTGTAGAGCCTAAATGTCTGAAAAATTCATTAAAACAGCACTTTAATTTTGACAGAGTTGAACTGCTGGGAAAATTAATTGATTGTTTCTCACTTGAGCTTTGGAGAAGTCATTAAGGTTTTTATGATTTATGGAAAATTGAGAATTGAAGTACACTAAAATCAATATGTTATCTGATGTACAGAGAAAATCGCACTTCAGATGAAAGAAAGCATAAACAATTCCAAGAGCTTTTTCTTTCTTTCTCTTGATTCCACAGGCATATTTGCATAGAGCTTCTATATTTACTTGTATTCAAAGTCCTTTGTCAGTCATTTTTATTGTGATACACATTATGGGGACAGAATAATGAGGTCTGAGAGATGAACCACTGCATTTTAGAAACTTTTCTGTTAATTTCAAAAAGGTATTAAGGACATAATATAAAATACCAGAAATAGTCTGGGCATGGTGGCTCACACCTGTAATCCCAGTACTTTGGGAGGCCGAGGTGAGCAGATCACTTGAGCCCGGTTCAAGACCGGTCTGGGTAATATAGCAAGACCCCATCTCCATTTAAAAAAAAAAAAAAAAACAACAAAACAAAATATCAGGAATATTCAGATAGGTCTGTATATTTTGAAACAACCCTTAACAAGAAAGTTGTAATTAGGCTAACATGTTAGGAGCAACGAGAAATACTTCAAGGATTCTATATATTGGGCTTACATGTATTATGGAAAAAATAATCATGCCTTCTGCAAATAATGGGCAATGAATTGGATACTGGCTGGTGCCACCAGCGAGACTTAGGAGCCCACTCCGTTATGTTAAACAAGGATAAGAACAGAAAAAGAAAGAAGGACTGTAACAGAAAAGATCATCATGTAATTTATCTTTACTTAGTCCTCTGAATATGTCCTCTCTGACCATCCCCTCTTCTGATTATACACATCAGTAATCCTGGGGGGATTTTACCTTATTCAGATTTTGCAAAGCCTGAATGGATTGGGATTTTAAGAGTAGCCACTTCTGCATTTGTCAACTTCTACTATCTCTATTCCAGAGAGAAAATGATATTTTCCTTTTTGAATATTCATTGTTGCTTCCAAACTCGTTCAGCGTCAGACTGACTCTTTCCTTTCTTGTGTAGCTAACATCACTTCTAATTCACTCAACTTCCTACAAAGTCATACCCACAGTAGCCCATGCAAGCATGGGATATTCTGGGAGACTGGTGAGATTGTTAGTGATAAAATACTTGTTAGTATGAGATTTGTCTCACAAGCACTAAGTAAATCATGTAACCCTATAGGTAACAGATTTATTGGTTATCATTGGATACTTTAAGACTCAGGATAGTTATCTAATAAGAATTTACCCTAGAGCAGGTATTTTTGAGATATTCAAGCAGTTACATAACAAGACAAGAGTGTGCTCATTGAGTTAGCATTTGATACTTGACATGTTTGTATTTACTGGCCTGTAGTTTTATATTTTATCCAATTAACCATTGTTCTCTCTATTGGGAAACTAATCCTAAAGGAATATACCACAAATAGAGAAACTCTTTAAATCTCTTTTACAACTTATGTACTTAACCTCTTTCTTCGCTTTTGCAGCATTATTATCAAAGTCTGGAAAATTCATAAAGTCATTAAGAAATAAGCACCCACTCAAACCAAGGCAGGATGCTAGTTCATCTTATGGTTGTCAGCCTGGTGTGCAGCCCTTTACCTTGTCTTTATGCTGCCAACCTGTGAGTGACTAATCCCTGCCTTCTTCTCCCACAGTTAATTTATCCTATTATAAGTTCTCATGATAGGCATCTCTGAACATGTCCTAACAACTTGTTCAGAGGAAGGCTTTCAGTTGAAATGGAAGATGACTAGCAATTTTCACTGCTCCAATAGTTGTTCAAAAGAATATAATTTATTAAGCTATATCTACTAAACCAAGAATAAAAATGTCTTGTTCATGATTATGCTACAGCTCTAGATTTATTGAGACACAAAGGGGGGAGGATAACCTTTTATACTGTAGCATATATTCTTTTATTTTTTATTTTATTTTATTTTATTTTGACATGGGGTCTCACTCTGTCACTCAGGCTGGAGTGCAGTGGCACAATCTCAGCTCACTGCAACCTCCGTCTCTCAGGCTCAAGAGATCCTCCGAGTAGCTAGGACCACAGGCGTGTGCCACCACTCCCAGCAATTTTTTTTGTATCTTTGTTAGAGACAAAGTTTTGCCACGTTGCCCAGACTGGTCCTGAACTCCTGAGCTCAAGCTATTCATCCTCCTCAGCCTCCCAAAGTGCTGGGATTACAGGTATGAGCCACTGTGCCTGGCCAGCATTTTTTTTTTTTTTTTTTTTTGAGACTCAGTCTCACTTTGTCACTGAGGCTGGAGTGCACTGGAGCAATCTTGGCTCACTGCAACCGCCACCTCCCGGATTCAAGCGATTCTCCTGCCTCAGACTCCTGAGTAACTGGGATTACAGGCATGTGCCACCACCCTCGGCTAATTTTTATATTTTTAGTAGAGATGGGGTTTCACCATGTTGGTCAGGCTGGTCTCAAACTCTTGACCTTGTGATCCACCTGCCTCAGCCTCCCAGGGTGCTGGGCTCAGCCAGGCGTGAGCCACTGCGTCCAACTGCATATATTCTTCACACGGGGCGGGGGGGATCTGTTAACTAAAGTACAGATTAGAGTCAGGAGACTTAAGTGTTATTATGGTTTTTGCATGTAATCTCTTTAATAATCCCAATTATTTGACATGTTCTTTTCTGAGCAATAATTTTTGTCCTGTCTCTAAATTAAATACCCCAGTATCCCAGGGTATTAATCCACTGTGGTATTGTTTTTTATTCTATTTTATAATCAAATACACTTTCTATTATGATTACACTTCTCTCTCCTAGAAAGAGAATCTTTGATTCAAGACATGGTGTCCATGAAATCCACATTAAACCATACCTGGAGTATGTAACATGTTAACATGTTAGCATCGGTCATGACATAATCAGAGATGGGGTCATTGCATTGTAACCAACTAATAACCAGCTGAGCAGGTAAAAATTGCCAGGAGACTAGAAAGATGGTAGAAATCAGATATGCAGTTGTTTTTCAGAAGACAGACTCAAAAGGAGGGAATGGGAGGATCCCTGGACAGGCAGCAGGAAGACACTGCCCAACCAGCAAGTACGGAGCCAGCTAATACTGAAGGGGTCTCTAGAGACAAACTCCATCTCGCAGAATTCTCTGAAGCTGCTGTTGCCCAACTAAATCTTTAAACAAAATATTCATGTCCGCAGTGAAAAAGGACAAAAATTACCAGCCACAATATTACATTTTTCTTTTTCTTTCTTACAGCTCTATTTGCAACCTTGGAATTGGATTTGATTCTGAGACTGCCTGACTTCTTAATCTGATAAAAATCATTGGTATTTACAGGGATCTGTATTATTCCAAAAATCAGCAACTGATCTTTCTTGGTACACTCTGATATCACTGATGAGAAGACTTTCTTTTCCTTGAAAATGTAGACAGTAACAAAGACAGAAAACACTCCAGCCCTCATTGGCGAGCAAATAAATTCAAGGAATCAAGGACAACCTCACTTCTTTCCCATACGAAATCCTTTCCTGCAACACATCGCTCCCTCTTTTTTTTTTTTTTTTTTTTTTTTTTTTTTTTTGAGACGGAGTCTCGCTCTGTCGCCCAGGCTGGAGTGCAGTGGCGCAATCTCAGCTCACTGCAAGCTCTGCCTCCTGGGTTTACGCCATTCTCCTGCCTCAGCCTCCGGAGTAGCTGGGACTATAGGCGCCCGCCACCTCACCCGGCTAGTTTTGTTTTTGTTTGTTTGTTTGTTTGTTTGTTTGTTTGTTTTAGTAGAGACGGGGTTTCACCGTGTTAGCCAGGATGGTCTCGATCTTCTGACCTCGTGATCCACCCGTCTCGGCCTCCCAAAGTGCTGGGATTACAGGCTTGAGCCACCGCCCCCGGCCACCCCCTTTTTTAAATTGGAAAAACTTAAAGTTGGGGATTAGAAACTTAAGTATGGAAGGCTCGCATCAAATGTATAAATATGAGAGACAACACAGTGTAGTGGTTAGCAGCATAGAATCACACAGAACTGTGCTGGAGCCCCAGTTTCATCACTTATCATCTGTGCAAATTCAAGCAATCTTGTTGAGCCTCAGTTTTCTTGTCTGTAAAATGGGGATAATAATAGTAATTACTTTGTGGAACATAATAAGTGTGCCATACATTAACTGTTATTAGTTTTTAAATTAAATATTGTTCTACCAGAATCTACTTCTGAGATATACAAGTTTTCTAATAATATAATTATAAAGATAGCTACCATTCAAAATGTTAAACAAATACATTGTAATCAAGTAATCAAGGAACCGTAGGATTATAAGTTATCCAGTGTTGGAACAGGTGCTTTATGAATACAAAAGAATTATAAATTCTAGCTTTTATGGAGAAAAGACTTTTTTTTTTTTTGAGATGGGATCTTGCTCTGTAGCCCAGGCTGGAGCTCACTGGCATGATCTCAGCTCACTGCAACCTCCACCTCCCAAGTTCAAGTGATCCTCTCACTTCAGCCTCCCGAGTAGCTGGGACCACAGGCGCACACCACCATGCCCAGCTAAATTTTTTGTATTTTTGGTAGAGATGGGGTTTTACCGTGTTGCCCAGGCTGATCTCAAACTCCTGAGCTCAAGCTATCCATCCACCTTGGCCTCCCAAAGTGCTGGGAATACAGGCATGAGCCACCATGCCTGGCCTGAAAGACTAACTTATAAATATATAATCATTAGCATACACAGGTGGTATTAAAAACAAAACACTGAAGTATTTATTTAACAGCTCCATCTTCATCATCAAATCACATGTAAATGGTTATGAACACAGTACTTAGTTTTCCAATGCCTCGAAACAAGTAAAGATGGTAATAAAATAACCTATAAAACAAAGTCAGAAATTTTGTAAAGCGGTAGCCCATTCCATTTTGCATTTCCTGATTTTACTTTCTTCATTGCACCAGCTGATGGAGTACCATCTGAACCTCTGTAACGGGTAACTGAAGAGCTGTCCCTGTGATGCAGTGAATCCAGGCTGGAAGGGATGAACTCATTTCCACGCTTTCTATGTCAGCTAAATCCTCACTCTTGGACAGAAACCCACAAGCATGGCCAGACTGGGAGAAGGCAATTCTGCCAGCTGATTGGAGTTAAAATGTGCAACTAGACAAAACCCCATGTTCCACTCCTACAAGGTAGACAACAGAAACACATTTCCTCTGCTTCTCTTCCTGTCACATTCCTCAAGCCATACTTAGTTATATGATGATATTCAACATCTACTTGGAAGTAATTATTACTACATTATAAACAACAACAACTAATGTTTGTTGGCATCTAGGAACTCCCTTGGTTATCCTAGGACTTCTAAGGTGAGGAGGGAAACGAGCTAATAGAACTGGATGTTGACACAGGCTTACTTCTATGGCAACATTTTCCTTTTTCCAAAATGAATGCTGGAATTGCCTGACCACCTGGGAGTTATTTGTTTCACGGTTCAAAAGTTTGTTTACTGAGCTTTTGTTCTGATAATCATCTGAAAGTGAGTTTTGCTTTGGAATGAATGGCAAGCTTAACTTGAAATTTTTTATTATTGGAGCTGTGCTGCAAGAGGTCAAAAATGACCACATCACTGATCCATGGAGAAGCACAGAGATACTCTCTTTAGAAAGTTAACCTTATCTACAGTTTAAAGTAACCTTTTAGGAACACAAACACACACACACACACACACACACACACACACACCCCTGTTACTCTATCTTTGTCTACATATTTTGCTTCACTCCACAAAAGTAAAGAGGGGAGGGTAATTTAAAACAATCAATAATTCTTATGTAAATCAGGTTAGTCAATTTTTCCACATGTTTTTACTTTGACAAAGAATGTAACAGTCTTTTCCAAGAGTAAACAATTTCCAACGACTGCTGGCTCCTTCCGTTAGGACAGTGTAGGGAGGTGGGTGTTGGTTACAGAATAACTCAGGTCTTCAGAAGCGTGACTACATAATAAGACATGTTTTCAAGCCTAGCTGATGAAATTTCAGTAACTATTTTTGGAGTGAGATCTTCTATTTATATGTCATATCTTTAAGATATTTCGTATGTAGATAAGTCATATTTATTTGATGTGATAATGACTTCAAAATTATTGGTCATTGATGTGCACTGTTCCCATGAAATAGTTAAAATATTATTTCTGCTAAAATAAAAACAATGATGCATTCAGAATTTGTATCTTACTGCTATTTGAATAAACATTTTATATTATTGGTTTAGTGTTCTGACATACAATGCAAGGACATAGCATCTGGTTCATTTTAACCCATAAGTGTCTGTACAGCATATTATAATTATATTTTTAAATTATTGTAGGGGAGAAGAGGATCTTAAATCCAAAATTTTTTACAGAAACTGATTGTGGAATTCTTTATTTATGTCCTCAAAATAATACCTCAGAAGATGACACACAATCAGGCATGGTGGCTCATGCCTGTAATTCCAGCACTTTGGAGAAGCTGAGGTGGAAAGATTACTTGAGGCCAGAAGTTCAACACCAGCCTGGGCAACACAGAGAAACCCCGTCTCTGCAAAGAAAATTAAAAAAATTAGCTGGGCATGGTGTTGTACCCATATAGTCCCAGCTACTTGAGAGGCTGAGGTAGAAGGATAGCTTAAGCCCAAGAGGTCAAAGCTGCAGTGATCATGCCACTGCATTACAGCCTGGGTGACAGAGCAAGATCCCATCTCAAGAAAACAAACAAAAAAAGATGACACTTTAATGGTTATTCTGGTATCATCTAGGGATGAACACACATATACACAAATTTTAAGTAGATGATATTTCCCTAAGAGATATTCCTTAAAATAGTTGTCCCATATACATTCTTTTGAATAATGTGTTATGTTTAAATGTTCATTTTCAGATTTACATTTGAATTTATTGATGCTTATCTAGCCTTTCCTTAAAGAACATGGATCACATATCCAGAAAGAAACATTGATGAGGAGTAAGCTCCAACATCATGCATGAACTTGCCCTAAAATACTCAGTCTTTCTGATGAAGTTTACCTTAAGAAAGTGAAAAATACTTTCAAAAATAATATTTTTAACAATTAATGTGACTTTTGGAGGACAATTTTGAAAAACGTGCTTTCTTTAGCAGCTGAAAGTGGAAAACACAGGCTGAAATTAAGGCTATGACCATTTGTCATAATGCAGGCCACACATGGTCACAGCATTTTAAGTGGAAATATACTATGTTTGGTAATCTTTCTGTTTTTTAGAGGTCTTTGTATTACTTTTACAATAAAAGAAAGAATAATAGAAGCCCAAAAAGTAGCAGTTTTTAAAAGCACAAAATTTTTATCTTCTATTTGAGGATAGGTAAGTGAAGCTATGTTTAATAAAGAAAAATAAAATATCAAGAAAATATGATCTTACCCAAATTTACATTTGAGTTTCTATCTCAGTTAAAAAATACTTCTGTATTCATGCTAAATCCTGGCCTCAGTGCTAATATTTTACAGACTGACTTGAAACTACCAATTCTAAAAATGGAAATAGTTTAAGCAATCTCTAATTTCATAAAATACGAGAATGCCCCTTTCAAGGAAAATTTATAATGGTTCTGAGTTATGTTTGTTTTTCTTGTTACTTTTTATTGCTAAAACTCTTTCACCAAGCTAGTATTTCTTTTATGCCCAGGAGGCAAAACAGCTTGGCATTCTGTTGAATTTGTTCATCTAAATGTCAACTTTTTAAAAATGGAATGAGGATTTTGTCTTAATATTTTCATTTAAGACTACAACTATATGACCTTTAAGATCCTCTCTTACTTTATAATCTCTGATGATTTTACTATACCTTCCCTTAAAATTAATGATAAAAATCTTAACAATCATTCTTAAGTAATATACATTGTTATATTAGCCTAAGACAGAATACAAAAATATTTACATCAACTATGGCTTTCTGTAAGGATAGTACAGATCTCAGACAGTCTCCAAAGAAGTTTTCTAGTGTCTTTGAGTTGCTGCCTGAGAAAAAGGGAGCACTGAAAGACTTCTCCAGAGATTACATTCTTGAACCCAAGGCCCTTCCTCCTCCTTCTTCCCCATCTTTGTGCTGCTTCGCTCTTCTGAATCTCTGAAGTGTAATACAAGACCAGCAGGACTGCATAACAATAGAGATGAGACTATCTTTGCATTTATACTAATGTAGTTTGCCAATGTACAGATGCACAGCAGTTTTTGCTTAAATTAGGTTGCTGTTTAGTTTAACTCCTTACTCTGATTCAAAAGCTGTCTCTCAAGTTCCCTGCTGGGTTTGCTGGCTCATATTTCTCCCTTTGATCCTGGGTTCACTCTGCCTTCCTCACCAGCTCCCAGAGCTACCTGTTTAGTTCCAACTAAAAGTACTCTTACTGCAGTTGCCCAATGCTGGCTCCGTGGTTCTGTATTCTCTTTAGTCTGTCCATTACTCATTAACCTTCCACTGCTCCCTAAATGGATCTCCTTCTTCCTGGACAGCTCTAAACAGTCCTTTTGGCTCTGTTCAATGTTTAGCTTTTTATTTATTTTTTTTAGAAGTAGGGTCTTGCTTTGTCACCCAGGATGGAGTGCAGTGACACAATCCTAGCTCACTGCAGCCTGGAACTCCTGGGCTCAAGTGATCCTCCCACCTTGGCCCCCTAAAGTGCTGGGATTACAAGGCGTGAGCCACTGCGCTGGCCTTCCATTGCTTGTATTTGCATATCCATACCTACAATTTAAAGAATGCTATCTATACAGAAATATTAGCATTCAGTATGATAAAAGAAATTAAATATGTTTTAAAATACATGTGTTTATAATGATACTTAAAAATGCTCACTAGTCACCTTTTGGAAACTGGTAACAAAAAAGAGTGTGGGGGAGACAGAACCAAGCATTCATCATACTTTTTCCATAAGAACCATATCTCAGCATCACCAAATAGTTGATAAGGGAAGGCTTTTTGGCTTGTTTTTGTTTTAATAAGTTGCAGCTAATAAATGCAGAAGGCATAACAGAATTTACATGTCACCATTTTGCAATCCCTAATGAAATAAAGAATTTGGGCAAAGACCCTCAATGACTTCTAAACCATTAGATAAAAAACTTAATGAGGAATTATATAAAGAAAGGATCAAGCTGACAATACCAGAACACACTGATCAAATTTAACATTACAAGTAGGGAAACAATCATACACTCTATGCCTCATCATATAATGCAAAAGAAAATATACAACACAAACTATTAAATATTTTTACAGAAAATTGGCTACACAGGAAGCTGAGGCAGGATTGCTTGAGGCCAGGAGGAGTTCAAGGCCGCAGTGAGCTATAAATGATCACACCTGTAAATAGCCACTGTACTCCATCCTAGGAAACACAGAGTGACCCAGTCTCTTAAAAAAAAAAAAAAAAAAAAAAAAAAAAAAAAAAGAGGATAGAGCAAGATTCTTATTGAGCCCTCTATCAATTTTACAGGAAATACAGGAGACAGGATATCACAGGAAGGCAATCAGAAAAATTCAGAATGTGGGAAATTTTACAGGACAGATTATCTACTTTTTTCAACTAATTACGAGAAAAAGAAGAAAAAGATGCATATATATTAATGGGACTTTAATGACATATTAATGTGTAATGTGTGCATTTTGGTTTCTGATTTGAAGAAATCGATTGTAAAAAACAATGATCTCTTGGGAAACAGGAAAATATGAAGACTGAGTATTTGATAATATTGAATTATTATTAATGTGAGGGTGTGATAATGGCCTTGTGGGATTTTTTGAAAAAAGAATCCTTATATTTAAAAGATATATATCAAATATTCATGGATAAAGTGATATAAACTCTGGAATTTGTATAAAAATAATCCAGGACATGGGAGAAGCAAATGGGGTATAGACAAAAGAAGATTAGCCATGAATTTTCAATTGTCAAAGCTGGTGATGGCTACATGATGCTTCATTGTACTATTCTATCCACTTTTGTATATGTTTAAAATTTTTCATAATAAAGTGTTTTAAAGGATTTAGTAACTAATATATTTCTTTGAAGATATAATAGGAACTCTGCTGTCAAGAGAGAAGCTGATTCCAGAAATCATAGCCTGTGATGTGGAATCTATTCTATGGGATTGTAGTGATACTCTCAATCTACCCGCTTTTCTCCTTTTCTCCCCAAACCTTCAGAAAATCTGGTACTGCCTGTTAAAATGTAGGCATTGAATGACCACTGGTTGGGAAGAAAGGTGTTTCCTAGGAGAGTGGTGGTTTATCTATTTGTTTTGGAGAATCCCCACTTTGCCCTCACCACTCTAGAGAGGAAAGTGGTGATCCACCCAGGTGAGTTCAAGCCCCTTTTAATAGCCAGTGAAGCTAGCAAGTGCCCTAGGGCTACCTGTGAAATGACCTTGGAGTCACAGCCATATCATAGGCTGGTAGTTTCTTGCTGGACTGGAGTAAGCTACTGCTATAGGAGCAAGGTTAGAGGAAACTAAGAATAATCTGCAGTCTAAATCAGGAAGTTCAAGACATGGAAAGTACAGTTCTAATCTTGACCAAAAATGAAAACGAAGTAGATTGGTGGTAAGATGCTACCATGAAGATTTCTCAGGCCCATCAGGACTAGGAGAAGAGGGTCAGGGCCATCTGATAACCAGCCTTGGTTGCAGAAAAGGGTTCAGCTCTAAGATAGAGTTAGAGTGTAGACCAGGAGTCAGGAACACACACTTTGGAGAAAGTTAGTGATTTAGTGGAGAGGCTGTGATCCACGGATGATGTGGTCTTCTAGGAGTCTGATGTCACATGCAACCACACTGATCCTGGCAGTAGATACCACTCAGTAATGGTGGAGATGGAATTTGTATGCTGCTTAGTGGTGAAGACCTGTTGCTTTTCCATTGCACACTCTGCCTCCCAGCTCATTGAGCTGACTTGGCATATGGGAGAGTCCTTGAGCAAGCAGCTCTGTTCTCTCCACTTGGTGGTGTTCTCATCTTGGCATCCCTCCCAACCCCTGTTAAATGCTAATCCTTTGCTTAGGCAGCACAGAAGAGAGCCAACATGACACAGAAGGAAGAAGAGGTAAGAGCCAGTGGGAAAGTCTTGGACTCCGGAGGCAAACTCACCTGGCTTAAATCCTGATTTTATTTCTTCCCAGCTTGTCAGCTTCTGGCAGATTTCCTGTTTTCAGAGGGTTTGTTTTATTGTCTGTAAAATAAGCAGAGAATTATCTATTTTGGAGTATTGTCGGAAAAGTAAATGTAAAAGGGGCTATGAAACATAATATTAAAGTAAACAGGAATATCACCTCCTTTATAAACTTGTTATGGCCACTTGGGGTCCTAGGAAAAATGGCAACAAGGACTAAGGGACAGGAGAATCTTAGGAGACTTTAATAGTATTTGGCGCTCCCAGATGCTGAACCTGTCTAAACTTGACCGAGGAAGAGTGCTTTTCATGAAAACCTTCTGAGTCAAAATATTACTATAAATTGCCCAGTCTCTTCACAGCAGTAGCCCCATCCCATCATCACAGGAGTAAGGGAGCTGGAAAGGAGTTTCCTGCTGATGCTTTCTTGTCCAAAGGACTTATTTGTTTTTTTATTCTATGATTTTCAATACTACCAATAGATTGGACATCAGACTTCCAAGAAGCAAGCTGCCTGAGTGATGCACACCAAAACAGCTGATTCCTTTGGGCTAGGGCAAGGATGTCAATCTAAATCAATTAGCTGAAGCATTACATCAAGGAAAGTCTAAGGTGTTTTTTCAAAGAGATCAAAAATTACAGAGGATTAGAGAATAGGGTAATGTGTGAGGAGTTTAATTTCTCTCATACACTGTAGTCCATAAGTGAACAGTACAGGTTGAGGGATGGTTCTGCTGTATGTGAGTTGTAGTATCTGGAGATAACAGTAGACAATGGGGGAAGGCAACAGATTTTAAAATCTTTTGCTCATCTATCATAAAGCTCTTTATGCTTTTTAATATGATTTCTCAATATACAGACATTGCTCACTAAATCTTAACTTTTTTCTTCTTTCCATCCCATTCTATATCGAGTATATTGAAGATGGCTAACTACTGATAATTTTATGAAGTAGCTAAAGAAAATTAAATGTGCCAATAATGCTTTACACTTTGCCACCATAAAAAAAAAAAGTAGCCTTACTTTTCTCTAGAATAGTCTCTAGACTTCTTATTGGCCTTGACTCATGGGTTTTATGCATATTTTTTAAAGGGGAATCACTGCACTCATGTTTAACAGAATAGATCAACATCATTACATTTAATTTTAAATATCTTGTACTAGATTAGCTCTTGAAAACTCTAGATTTTGGCCAGTTCAAAACTAAATCACCAATAGGTAAAGATACAGAATTTAAGAAACTAGGAAAAATAAATATTCAGCCCAGTAACCCCTTTAACATCCTTTCAAGATGGTCTTGAATCAACAGTCACCAAGAAAAAGTCTCTAACAGTTTGGAGGTTCCTCATAAAACTAAAAATAGAACTACCATATGATCCAGCAATCCCAGTACTGGGTATATAATATACCCAAACGAAAAGAAATCAGTATATAGAGGAAGTATCTGCACTCCCATGTTTATTGCAGCATTGTTCACAATAGCCAAGACTTGGAAACAACCTAAGTCTTCATCAGCAGATGAATGGATGAAGAAAATGTGGTACATATACACAATGGAGCACTATTCTGCCATAAACAAGAATGAGATCCTGTCAATTGCAACAACATGCATAGAACTGGAGGTCATTATGTTAAGCAAAATAAGCCAGGCACAGAAAGACAAACATTACATGTTCTCATTTATTTGTGGGATCTAAAAATCAAAACAATTGAACTCACGCAGATGGAGAATACAAGGGTGGTTACTAGAGGCTGGGAGGGGGGGATGGGGGAAGTGGGACTGGTTAATGGGTACCAAAAAATAAAAAGAATAAATGAGATCTAGTATTGAATAGCACAACAGGATAATTATAGTCGATAAAAATGTAATTGTACATTTAAAAATAACTAAAAGAGTGTAATAAAATTGTAGCACAAAGGATAAATGCTTGAGGGGATGGATACCCCATTTTCCATATGTGATTATTACACATTGCATGCCTGTACCAAAATATCTCATGTACCACATAAATACATATGCATCCTATGTACTCACAAATATTTAAAAAATTTTTTGAAGAACAAGTCTCTAGAAGCTTGCTATGATTTTGTTGACTTTCAAGTTAAGTTGCTAAAAATATTTCTCCTGTATTTGTTTTGTTTGTTTGTTTCTTTGTTTTTGTTGGAGACAGAGTTTTCACTCTGTTATCCAGGCTGGAGTGCAGTGGGGTCATCCTGGCTCACTGCAAACTCCACTTCCTGGGTTAAAGCAATTCTTCTGCCCCAGCCTCCCAAGTAGCTGGGATTACAGGTGTACACCACCACACCTGGCTAATTTTTGTTTATTTGTATTGTATCGTTTTGTTTTGTTTTAGTAGAGATGGGGTTTTAGCATGTTGGCCAGGCTGGTCTCAAACTCCTGACCTCAGTGATCTGCCCACCTTGGCCTCCCAAAGTGTTAGGATTACGGGCATGAGCCACTGCACCCGCTCTGTTGTTTTTTACTTCATAAATACTTGTGTGTTATCAAAAAACCATATTAGGCCCTCCTCTAACATTAATCTTCCAAAGCCATTAAGACTTCTCTTTTTCCTGGGCTTATGGGATTTATTTCAGATCTACTGAATAATTTGTATTATGATTAGATTGGATGGGTTTGCACTACTATTCCTTAGTGACAAAACCTTATGGAACATATTTTTCCACTAATTGCATGATCCCCAAATAGCCCAATGAATAAAGAAACATTAGTTGGTCGGGCATGGTGGCTCACGCCTGTAATTCCAAGACGAGGCCGAGACGGGTGGGAGACTGAGACGGGTGGATCGCCTGAGGTCAGGAGTTTGAGACCAGCCTGCCCAACATGGTAAAACCCAGTCTCTACTAAAAATACAAAAATTAGCTGGGAGTGGTGGGGGGGCGCCTGTAATTCCAGTACTTGGGAGGCTGGGCCAGGAGAATCGCCTGAACCCAGGAGGCAGAGGTTCGTGCCATTGCACTTCCAACTGGGCGACAAGAGCAAAACTCCGTCTCAAAAAAAAAAAAAAAGAAAAGAAAAGAAAAGAAACATTAGTCATCTGGGTATTTTGTTTTCCCAGTACAAAACATCAGGTAAAGGGTTTCATCTGGAAAACTAAAATTTTTCCCACCTCTTACCTTGTAGGTGATGCCTTGTAGAACAGCTTTGGATAGTAGATGGAATGAAACGTCAGACTGGAAGGATCATGCTAGTTTCCCTGAATTCTGGTCAAGGTCCCAAGATTGAAACGAGTTGTTCTTAGAGCTGTGGGAGTGGATATCTGAAATTACTCCTTTAAAAGCTGCAGGAGGCTTTGGGACTATGAATGGTAAAATGAAATGGTAAAATGTCAACTTGCAGAAAATTAAACGTTTCAAATCTTGACCTTGGAAAAGGTTGATTCCTGAGCAACTACAGGAGGGAAAATCACAGCCACAGTGGACTCAGGCAAAGAATGTCATCTAAACACAAAGCCTAAGAGCTCCCCCAAACAGTAGAATGCTGAAATAAGGAAAAAGCAGGACAAATAAGTCTTAACTCCAGCGCTACTGGATCCTAGTCACTTAAATTCTCTAAAAGCCATTGAGCCCATATAATATAGTGATTTAGCATCTGGGCTCTGGATAATCTAGGTTTCTAGTGCTGGTTCTATCATTTACCACTGTGTGAACTCAGGAAGCTCAACCTCTCTAAGCATCATCTGTAAAATGGGGCTAGCAATAGAACCTAACTCTCAGGATTGTTGTGAAGAGTCAGTAAGTGAATATGTGTACACTTGGCACATAGTAAATGCTCAATAATCGAGCTCTTATTATTACTCCCATGATCTGCTGTGAGAACACCTGAGATAAAAGATGTGAACATGCTGTGAAGAACACAAATGGCCACACAAATTCAAGGTGTTGCTGGTTTGTTTAGTTTTCCAGTAGACCTACCTTGGTAGCTCACCGGAGATCTGGATGAAATCGCAAACGGTATTGAGAAAGATATGCCTTCTATAATCCTGGTAGTACCTGCAACTTGTGTTTCCAAAAGTTATTTCTTCTTTGCATGTGTCTGGTGAGGTGAACCTAATGCTGCTGGCAGCCATGCCCCTAGCCGGAATCATTGCCAATTATTTCAATAAAGCACAGATCCATTCCTCACCCTTGCGACTGAGAAATGCTGGAAAGGAGAGAGGAGTAAGAGAGTCATATTCCTTACTTCTTCCTTATTTTACCTTAGACCCTACCCCTCTTAGGTTCTCTGGCCAGTTGATTAGCTACACTTTAAGTCATTCCATAGATTTATGATGCCTGTTCTTACATAATCTAAATGATAGAACTGGCACTAAAAACCTAGATTGTCCTAGTCAGGAGTTACAAAGACCAGCTTTCTGCCTGTGCAGAGATTAAACCTAGTATTATATGGGGAATTGGACCATTAATTTGGGTGGTTTAATTTCAAACGAAGTGGATTCTGCTACTTGAGAAATATTCTTGGAAGGAAAAAAAAAAACCCCAAACATTCCACTCACTGTGAGAGTGTAGAACAGAGTAAAAGAATGGGCTTATAATTTGGGAGATGCATTGAGTTTCTGCATGAAAGATGTTATCAGAATCCAAGAATTTTTGTTACTCAATAGCAATCCTACCAGAAGGCCAGCTTTTTCCCAAGGCCTGGTGGCATCAAGCAGCTTAGAGTCCAGAGAAAAAAGCATTACAAACAAGTTTTCTGGATGAAATGACACATGGAGTTATATAGAGTTTGCAAAATACACGATATTTTGAAAAGTACTCCTGAAGCTGAGCTCCGGCTTAAGAGAAGAAACCAACAATGAGTAAGATTCTATGAAAGGAATTCTGAAGAGTTGTGAGAATATTTTCCTTTTCTCTTAACATGGATGACCTTGTGTGTATATACTATTGCTGACTTCAGTAAACATTTATTGAGTGACCACTTAGTCAACAAAATAAATGTACTCTCCTATCTGTATCCCTATAAAACACTCATCCTCTTGCAGTCTCTGGGGGAATCTCAGCAGAGGGGCATTTTCCTCAACTTAATCCTCAGAGAAAATCTGAAGCTGCCCTCATGTACTTTCTTGCCACAAGAAAGGCACTGTCTAGCAGCATACATCCCTCTTGGCCTGATGACTAAATCACAGCAAAAGTGGCCCATATCCTTCTATATTGCCTTCTCCTGCAATCCTCTAAAGGGGAAGAGATGATGGATAGGGAAATGTTGGGCTGTATGTAGGAAGAGATCTTTATTATGTTTTTTAATCATCCCTCAACTCCCCGGTACCATATCACAGGTGAAGATGAGTAGGTGGACAAAAATCTGTTAATTGGAACATATCTGTACCTGTTTGCAAAGCATTAAGAAAAGTACATTTTGATCATGAATTGCAATAATTAGCAGCAAGCATTACACTCATTGTTAATGTTACCTCTGTTCTAGGCAGAGGTCAACATTGCCTCATGAATAAGTGACTCAGCATTACAAAATAGTGAAGTGTCTCCTCTGCAGTTAAATTTGGCCTTCTCTGAAGTAATGAAAACAAAGTCCCCAGTAGGAAAGCAAGGTTGGAGAATAATTTGACAGGATATCGTAGCGATTACCACTCTTTCATAATCCTTGTGGTGGAAACTGCTAATTGTCGACCAAAATCTTCTCTGCTTTTCTTCTGGGTATATGCCACATGCCACCTTAAGATTGCATTTTCCTAATTCCTTTGAGACTAGGTACAGTCAAGTGACTATATTCTCAGAAATGGAATGTGAATACAGTACAACTCCTGTATCCTTTGCTTAAAATGAAACTGATGCTCTGAATCTGGTTTCTCTTCCACCCTGATATATCCAGGATTCATTTTTGACCACACAGATGAGGACAAGGCTCCTTCTGGGGGGTTGCCAGGGTAACAAAATAAGAGAAACAAGAGTGCTTGAATGTCCGTGTAAATTCAAGCCACCCCTGAACCTGCCGTGCTCACTTAAGGACTGTAATTCAGGAGGGAAATACATTTCTCATGCATTGAGTTTTCTCTAATTCTCTCTATTTTTGAACCTCTTTGAGAAAGCGTCTTTGACTTTACCCTGATACAATATATTTTTATGTAATACAGTCATGCCCTGAAGAACAACTTTTTGCTCAGTGATGGATCACATAAACTATGATAGTCCTGTAACATTATAATGGAGCTGAAAAATTCCTATTGCCTAGTGACACTGTAACCATCATAATGTAGTGCAACACATTGCTCATGGGTTTATGGTGATGCTTTGTAAACAAACCTACTGTGCTGCCAGTCACATAAAGGTAGAACACAGGCCGCGCACGGTGGCTCACACCTGTAATCCCAGCACTTTGGGAAGCCAAGAAGGGTGAATCATGAGGTCAGGAGTTTGAGACCAGCCTGGCCAACAGGGTGAAACCCCATCTCTACTTAAAAATACAAAAAAAGTAGCCAGGCATGGTGGTGGCATCTGTAATCCCAGCTACTCGGGAGGCTGAGGCAGGAGAATGAATCACTTGAACCTGGGAGGCGGGAGTTGCAGTGAGCCGAGATGGCACCATTGCACCCCAGCTTGGGTGACAGAGCAAGACTCCATCTCAAAAACAAACAAACAAAAAAGGTATAACATAAAATTATGTGCAGTGCATAATATTTGATAATAATAAATGAATGTTACTGGCTTATGTATTTACTATACTTTTTACTGTTATTTTAGAGTGTACTCTTTCTACTTACATTAAAAAGTCAACAGTAAAACAGTCTCAGGCAGGTCCTTCAGAAGGTATTCCAGAAGAGGGCATTGATATTATAGGGGATGATATCTCCATGCATGTTACTGCCCCTGAAGACCTTCCAGTGGCATAAGATGGGGAGAGAGAAGACAGTGAGATTCATGATCCTGACCCTTTGTGAGCTTAAGATAATGTGTGTTTGTGGTCTTTGTTTTTAACAACAATTTAAAAGTTAAAAAATATTGTTAACTAGAAAAAGTTTACACAATAACGTATACGAAGAACAAAATATTTTTGTATAGCTATACATGTTTGTATAGCTATACATGTTTTCAGCTAAGTGTTATTACAAAAAAGTAAAAAAAAATTAATAAATTAAAGTTTATAAAATTAAAGTCTATGAAGTTACAGTAGGCTACGGTTATTATTGAAGAAAGAAATTAAAAATAAATTAACTGTAGCCTAAATGTGCCGTGTTTATAAACTCTTACCACTCACTCACTCGCTGACTCACCCAGAGTGGCTTCCAGCCTGGCAAGCTTCATTCATAGTCAGCGCCCTATTCAGGTGTACTGAAGACCAGAGATTTTCACCTCAAAATATGGCACCCTGGTATGCTGATTATTTTAAATTAAAAGCCACTGGAGGCTGGCAGGCACTGGAAAAAGCTTTACTCTGATACTCCCTTATCTGCCTAAAGTCCAGCTCCACTAAAGAAGAAAACAATTAACTGTGTTTCCTTCCCTGAGTTCTCATTAACTTAGCTCATGCTGCAGGAAGAAAGACTAAAGTCTGTCAACACATCTGGACAGACATTTTTCACAAACCATGATCTGCTCTCCAAGCCCGACAGACTTTGCCCCAGACCATTGTATGTTCTCCAAGTCTATTCACTTCCCCCTAAAAATCATTTATAATCCCTCAATTACTACATTTCCCCCATCTCTCCTTCTTTATGAAGAAGTTTATATAAAGATCTGAATCTTCTTGGGTTATTGGATAATCATTCTCATGCAATTCCCCTGTACTATGCACATTAGAATACATTTGTATGCCCTTTTCTCATAGGAATCTGCCTTTTGTCAGTTGATTTTCAGTGAAACTTCAGAGGGCAGAAAGCTTTTCCTTTGCCTCTACAGTACTATTTTTTTTTAACTCTTATACCATATTTTTACTGTACCTTTTTAATGTAGAGATATGTTTAAATATACAAATACTTACCATTATTTTATGATTGCTTATAGTTTTCAGTACAGTAATATGCTGCACAGGTTTATAGCCTAGGAGCCACAGCCCAAGCAATATAGATTAGGTGTGTAGCAGGCTATACCATCTAGTTCTGTGCCAGTACACTCTGTGATGTCCACACAATGATGAAGTAGCCTAATGATGCACTTCTCAGAAAGTATCCCTGTCAATAGGTGCTACATGACTATGTATCAGTCCACGTACTATAATTATATATATATATATATACACACATTCATTTTATATAACTGTATCACAAATTACCACACACAGTGCCATAAAACAAGACAAACTGGTTATCTCCTGTGTTCTGTAGATCAAACTCAGGTGGATTCTCTGCTCAGGGTCTCACCAGGCTGAAATTAAGGTGTCGACTGTGTCATT